TGGTGTTCCACAAGGCTGTGTGCTATCACCAACGCTGTTTCTTCTGCATATCAATGATATGTTGCTAACTGGTAACATTCATTGCTATGCGGATGACAGCACTGGTGATGCTCTATACACCAGCCGTGCCAATATTTCTCGGGAAAACGTCTCTGAGTACCGGAACAAACTTGTGTCTGAAGTCGAGTCTTTGCTGAGCAAAGTCTCGGATTGGGGGCGACTAAATCTAGTCCAGTTTAATCCTCAGAAGACACAAGTTTGCGCGTTTACCGCTAAAAAGAAGCCCTTTGTCGTATGTCCTCAGTTTCAAGGCACTCCCCTTCTTGCCTCAGCCAGTATCGGTATCCTCGGAGTCGACATATCGAGTGACGTGCAGTTTCATGGTCACTTGGAAGGGAAGGCCAAGTTGGCCTCTAAAAAGCTTGGCGTGCTCAGCAGAGCGGGACAGTATTTCATGCCGGCACACCGCCTGCAACTTTACAAGGCGCAAGTTCGGCCTCACATGAAATACTGTGCCCATCTCTGGGCAGGGGCTCCCCAGTGCCAGCTCCTTCCACTTGACCGCATCCAACGCAGAGCTGCTCGAATCGTCGACGACCGAGCCCTTTCTGATCGGCTCGATTCATTGGCACTGCGAAGAGATGTTGCATGCCTTTGCATTTTCTTACGCATCTACCATGGGGAGTGCTCTGAGGAATTGTTCGGATTAATCCCAGCCGCCAAATTTCACGAACGCACATCGCGGCAGAACTCCCGATACCATCCACACCATCTGGATGATTGGCGGTCCACCACTGTGCGATTTAGAAGATGTTTTCTTCCTCGCACGACCTCCTTGTGGAATCGATTACCATCAGCGATTTTTCCGGGCCGATACGACTTAGGGACCTTCAAGAAAAGAGCGTACTCCTTTTTAAAAGGCCGGCAACGCATCTGCGATTCCCCTGGTGTTGCAGTTGTTCATGGGCGGCGGTAGTCACTTACCATCAGGTGAGCCGCATGCTCATTTGCCCCCTCTCCTATAAAAAAAAAACTGTTTTGATTTAAATTAGCATAATTATTATCAGAATCTAATATACGATACAACTCTGGCACAGCGGTGATACTCTCTGTACGTGAGAGTTCAAGCGCCGGTGACATTTAGCCGAAGCGTGTAACCCTAGGGTTGATACCGAACCGAAATTGCATACTATAGACTTGTGCCAAAGCAGATACATAGTAGGCATATGTTATGTTATAGAACTTATGTATTTAGGTAGTGAAAGATGCGATCAATTTTAAATCAACTTTTATTAAATATCTTTACAGATGGGGAATATTAAAATTTCCGACAAAATATGCACGACAGTTAATGGTAATCTTAAATAATTAACCAACACTTAGTATTTCAGTACGCAATAATCAGTATTACCTACTACCCTTTAAAAATTATTTACTCTTATATATTTTTGGCCTTTTCGATGACTTTTATAATTTTTATTATTTTTTCTAACAATTGAAAAAAATCGTAGCCGTATGTATATTTTTTTTAGAAAATCCATAGGGAAGCATAGATAGATGGATAGATAGATAACACTTTATTGTACGCCAAAAAACAACATAAATATTAACAAAAAATGAGAAAAAGAAATGTGGTACAATGGGTGGTCTTATCGCTAAGGGCGATCTCTTCCAGACAACCTTTGGCATGCAAGGTGTCTAAGGATTGCAAGAAAAAGATAAAAAAGTGTGTGGTTTGGCGACAAAAATAACATTATTTTTATTAGAACCATAAAATAGAGATATAGAATGGTATATAAGTACATAGATAAGATAAATACATACATACATATTAAAATATATGTATATATATATACATATAAATATATTTTTTTATAAATATAAATATATAAAAGTACAAATATATACTTTAAAACTATTACATATAACATGTATGTGTCATACATATAAACAAGTATTGTAACTAAATAAAAGTAGAATAATTATATACAAATGAGTAGGCATTATTTTTGTATAAAGCGCAGTCAGTCAGTGCTTGCGTGCAGTGCGTGAGATTAGAGAAACGAGACGCCAACTACTACGTAGTAACCCTCGACCAGGGCAGTCGGCGACGGTCCATTCCACGCCCCGCGCGCCTCTCAAGGCCCCCGCACACATCCAGACACCCACACATAGCCGCAAGCAATTTTACGTGCACACATGCTTAAGTGTCGTTTCTTTTCGCGTAGTGTATATATTTTCTTTGACTCTGGCCAATATAAGTCAGCTGGACTTAATGTCATAAATACTGTTGGACTTCCTAATTCTTAAATCATATCCACTAACTCTGTGGATTTTGCACACCAGTATGAGCTAGATGACCTCAAATTGGGATTATATGACAAAATTGATTTATACAATAATAGATTTTGCTGAAATAATTCCCGAAGCTGTATAATTCAAGAAATTAATTAAAAAATAAAAAAAAATTTTTTCAACAGTAAGTAAAATCGATATTTTTGACAAATACTTCAATTTTGTAAAGCTGTCCAACGCATCATACTATTAAAATGCAAAAAATCAAAATCTTGGATCTCTTGCAAACCTGCCGTCTTAATACATCATGAGGAATTTAAAATATTTAATATTAGAAACTTTACAAACTCGTGTATATCTAAAGTCATCTTTACTAGTAGGAAATAAAGTTGGAAATGCTCTGCAAATATCACATGTAAATTCATTAATTGTCTCAGAATGCAATCTAGGCCACGGTAAAACGCAAGATCCATCATTTGCTTCCTTAAAGTTTAGTTCACTATTCACTGCTTTACGGTTACATTGAAAGTCACCGTTGGGGCTCCAGATTTATAAACATTATCAAATAATGTATTTTGATTATTATCTTCACTATCTATATTAAATGAAAGATGTTGTTTTTCTTGACCTGATACAATATGCTGAAAAACACTCTCGTTATCAGGTAAACATTATAAATTATTTTCATCGATTGCAATATCACGATACCAAGGATTATTATTTTGAAGATAAATCAAAGCTGCCTTAACATTATCACGATTTACAATAAAATCTTTATACCCTTAACCACAATTTCTTCTAACAAAAAATATTCTTAATAGTATCAATAGAATGAGGTAAGGATGTAGTAAAATTTGTGATATCTTAATGAAAATTGAAAACTTGGCTACTGTATCCAAATTGGCCACCATTAAGTCTCCTATTACTGTAATAACCGGGTGAACTTGAGGGATTAATTGTTCTTTAAGAAATATAAATTTTTTAATACATCAGGTTGTAGTCCAAGGTCCATATTATTGTCTACAGAAAATATATTTAATTTATTTTTTACTTGTTTGTGACAAAGAGCACAAAGTTCATCTTTTTCAATATGTAAATCAAACCAACAATGATGACATAAATTACAGTGTTTCAATTCCAAATTTTTTTGAACTGTTTTGAAATTAATGGCTTACTCCAAAAAGCGAGAATTTTTACGATAAAAAATTAATTCTGCGTCTCGAGCTCTGTTCTGAGTTCTGACGTTGTCTTACTTCATTCATCAAAGAACGGTTTAGTTCACGTTCTTTACTGCCAGTTAAGGTGCGTCTTCCTAGCATTTTGATGTAACAATAACATTGATATAATTAAAATTTCCGACATTTTTCATCAAGTTATACTATATTCATAATTCATAATCAGCGCCATTTAACGTATCTAATGTGGTACTACTATAAAAGTAATTTTTTTAGTTTTCTTACAGATGGCGTTAATAATACAATAAAAATCTAATTAATGAAAATTGTTACATATTCTATTTTTATAATGTGGTTAAAATAATATTTTTATGATTGATAACACTACATGTGTGAAAAAATACTATGTCCAAACCTAAACCTAAAAGCGTGGTAGTTTCTGCGTAAAGTGTACCACAAAAATGCGTAGATTGTGGGATACATTTAAATAAATGGTCCACAGTATCGAAATGGTAGACCATATAATTCTTAGCACAAACCTTTTCATATTTGCGGTGTTATAATTAATAATCTCAGGTTTAAAGAACATTCTTTTCATGAATGAAAGGACTTCTTTTAGCCGCGTCGGCACAAACTTCGCGAAATTTTAAATATTCTGGTAAATTCTTTATTTAAAAACTAGCGACTCGCTCCGGCTGCACCTGCGTAGGATCTTACACAATAGGCGTTATTTAGTATAATCAAAGGCCGTTAATTTTATCAACTTTTCGGTTTAAAAAAAATCTCCTACTGTTTCTAATAAAGTATGGACTAGATCACCCCTGCATTGCTCTCCATCTTTTCATGAAGTATCATTACAATCGGTTCAGCCAGTTCCGAAGATTACCCTGACAAACAGACAGACAAACAGCCTAAAAACGGATTGACACACAATTTTTTAAATGATTATTAATGTCTTCATGACATGCAAATAACCCACTCAGCTCAAATATAATGCAGGTATTTCGATATTACAGACACACTTTAATTTTATTTATATGTTTAGATTTATTTACGTGGTAAAGTCATGATTCAGGCATGTTATGGTTATAGCACGAATGGATCGGCTGTTGGACGACGCTCTCACAGAATACCAGCGTAAAATAGCAGCTTAATGTTTCGTGTGGTGAGTGTAGAGAACCGGAGACCCTTTTTACTGGAAAACAGGCATTCCATCTTAGTCCTCACAGGTGACAACGAATCTGAATTTTGATTCTTAATCAAGGGTAGATATAGATGTCTATGGGCCACCTCATCCACTTGCCATCAGGTTGACTGTGTGCCGTTTGCCATACTTATTCTATAAAAAAAATATTGAAATATTCGGTATGGAATGTTTTTATTAAACCTGTTTTAATTATATATTATACATAATTCTAATAAAAGACTAATATAAAATTGAGACTAATTAGAAACTTCTTTTAGTAATAAGATGATTGCTGAGGTGAGAGCTTTTTAAGAACATATCTCAGAACATTTTAAATATTTCAGCAACAGAAAAACAGACGGTGGAAAAATCAACTTGTGGAAGAGTTTGGATAACTGTTCATTCACCTGAGATAAAACTAACTAACGGGGGGCAAATACTAGATGCCGTCGAGCTCAACTGGGACTTTAACGAATGTTCAAATACGCCTAGACAAGTAAGATAACTCATTTTATAATAAAGTAACAATGAAAATGTTTAAAACTGTCTAGAGTAACTATGTCTTAAATAAAATTGCCAATAATTTAAATGTTGAAACTAAAACTCCCTTTGATAGGCATTACTAGGTATATTAAATTCATTTTCCATTTTTTAGAATTTGTTAAAAAAATCCCCTTGGCTTTTGTAATTAAAATATTTTAAACTAAAATAACGTAAAATACTGAAATTAAAATTTCGTTTACAAGATTTTTAACTAAGTAAAATACGATCACATTGCTGTTAGAATTCATATTACGGGTTTATTCATTGTTTGCACTACCTACCTTTTCTTCCGAGCCAGGCATCGCGATTCACAACGAAAGGCCTTGCAAGTTGCATCCGTTGGGCATCACAGAACTCACATAGTAGCGAAAATATGGTCAGTAGATCATAGTCAAAATATGTACCTTACTTAAGTAACTTACTTACCATTTCGCAATGTATTTTTTTACTCTTTACTGACAGCCCTTAGTAACCACGGTAAGCCCGCCGTGACATAGGTCGAGGAAAAGATGCAAAGTAATACGGATACTCGTGCGCAGCGATAAAGTTTTATTTAGCTTGCGTGCGCCATTTGTCTAATTAATAATAATTATGGCTATTAAAACGTCAGCAATCAGGCAACATTAAAGGAGTGCAACTTCTGTACGTAATACTATTATTTATTCTGTGCTATAACTCTTATTGTGTCCTTTCATACGAGAGTTGCGAAGCTAATAACAGAGGAAGTCTGTATACAAAGCGCCTTTACCTGCTATTAGTCTGTATGGTGTGTGTATTTGAAGTTATTATAGTCGATTACCTGTACCTATTCCTATACGTTACATATGCCGATATGCGTAACAAATTATTTCAACAAAATTGGTGTGAAATTAAATTTTTGTATGTTTTAGAGGCTAAATTTTCTTTAGACCTAGATTAAATAAAGTTGTGTCATGTCACCACTGTAAAATATTAACCACGAGATAATGTTTTATGAATTTGATCTCGAAAATCTATCCTATGATATAATACGGGGTGTATATTGCCCCACATATCTTAATATATTATGTGGGGCAGGGGTGTTGAAAATTTACTCACAGGCTCAGAGTAACACCACACTACACTATTTCAACTGCTTTGTTCATATCAAGTTACGTATTGTATTCTTGCTTATGTTTATGTATACTATTTAAATATGCCGATAAGTCAAAAAATCAAACCATAGTTGCATAAGTAATTAAGTATTTTGTCGCAGCTTTATAGCTTTTAAAGCAATTAAAAACTTACACTACCTACCTATATATTTACATTTGTATCAAGTATTCACTTCATCTAATCTACCACTAACATTTACAGATTGGTCTTTTCAATAAACGACCAGCAACCTGGGGCAACGCATTAGTGATCTATCCTATCCAGTCTACGGAAGGTCATATAGTAACAAGAATCCCGCTGGGAGTAGGTGCGTTGCCAGCAGGATGGGAAACAAGCGCTGGTGCGAGGGGTCCGAATTGTCTATGGCCTTGGGCTGGCGCTGGTGATGCTGATATTCAAGCTTACAACTGCTTGAAGATACAACCAACATGGATGGAGGATAATGCGTTAGTCTCTCAATTCCTACCATACATATACATAAAAATAATACATAAACACTCACGCCTGTCACCCAGAAGGGTAGGCAGAGACTACGGACTTCCATTTGGCGCGATCCTGACACACCTCTCTCGCCTCTTTTACATCCATATATCTACGCATACACGCTCGTCGGTTAAGGGTAGTCCTAATCTGGCCCATTTTTAATGTATCGCCGATTTGGTCGATAAACCTTCGTCTAGGGCGTCCCTTCCCGACCCTGCCGTTCACTTCTGCAACATAAATTTGCTTTGTCACTCTTTCCTCGTTCATTCTTTCTACATGACCAAACCACCGAAGCATTCCTTTTTTAATCCTTGTCACAACGTCATCTTGCAAACCACACTTTTCTCTTATCACACTATTTCTCACCCTGTCATTCAGATTCAGCCCTAGCATACTCCTTAAGGAACGCATTTCTACAGCATTTATTCTACTCTCATGCTTCTTCTGCCAGACCCAACTTTCACTACCATACATTAAAGTAGGGACTAACACAGCATTATGAATTGCCATACGTGCTTTAGTTGACACATTCTGACTCCTCATAATAGCGTGTAGAGCCCCATTCACTCTATTTCCTGCGTTCACTCGTCGTTCTATATCCTTATCATATCTACCATCCCTGCTAAATAAACATCCCAAATATACAAACTCATCCACTTGCTCAATTAACTTCTATTCTTATTTCACATAAAGTTTTACTTTCTTCTCTTTCAAAAACCATCACTTTCGTCTTACTTGCGTTCACTTTCATACCCCTTTCTTTCAATGACCAATTCATTAAAGTAACCATCATTTGCAACTCGGCCGCCGACGATTCAAATATGTCTTGATCATCGGCGTACAAAAGGCATTTGACGGTTGACTCACCCATTCTCAACCCACATTCTTCAACTTTCAGAGTTTGCAAACAACTGTCCATAAATAGGTTAAACAGCCACGGGGAAGCCACACATCCCTGTCTGACACCTTTATGAATGCCAAACCAGTCCGAGTAGACCCCGTTGATCCTGACACAAGCACTAGAGTCCCTATAAAGAGACCTTAATGCCTGTATCAAGCCAGCGCTCAACCCAAATGAGTTCAGTGTTTGCCATAACACATTCCTGTCCACTCTGTAATAAGCCTTTTCCAAGTCCATGAACGCACAAAAAACTTTCTGGTTTTTGGCCAAAAACTTCTCCGCTATCATGCGCATGGAAAAGACTTGATCCGTACACCCCATCCCCTTTCTAAATCCAGCTTGCACATCCCAAATTTTTCCATCAGTTTCTTCCATAACTCTTTCAATTAACACCTTAGCATACAGTTTACCCACAATGCTAAGCAAGCTGATACCACGGTAGTTTTTACAGTCCTGCTGCGACCCCTTTCCCTTATATATTGGGACTATCACGGCTTTGCACCAGTCTTCCGGTACCCGTTTCAGTTCCCAACATAAATTAAACAAGGTGTGCAGCAGACCTACAACCACACCCTCACCAGCCCTTAGCATTTCGAGTGATACTCTATCATATCCGGCTGCCTTACCTGCTTTCATGCTTTTCATTGCTTTCATTATTTCATCTACACTTATCTCCCTACCTCTCTCCACTTCTTCCGGAATTTCTATTTCACTTATTTCAGACGACTCTTCACTCTTAAACACGTTTTCAAAGTATTCCTTCCATCTCTTTAAATTCGAAACTTCATCATTCAGCATGCAGCCATTCTCGTCTCGTATAGCATTCATTTTAGGCTGTTTTGAATTTCCCCTGGCAGTTCTTACGAGCTTCCAGAACATTTTAATATTTGCCTGGAAGTTATCAGATATCCTTCTATCATTCTTATCTATCCTTTCTTGCTTTTTCCTTTCAACAACTTCTTTTACTCTCTTATTTATACGTCTCAAGTCTGCCTTTTTTCTTTCATATATGATGATTATATCTAAAATCTATTACAACGGTTCAGAATAAGTAATATAGGCAAATGGTTAAGAAAATTTTAATTTAAAAAATCTCAAACATTCTATCCTTTTTATCTTTTAAATTCAAAATGCGTGGTAATGCATTATTTTAACTGATTTTACTGCGCACGTATACATTTGTAAAGGTCGGCAAAAATGTTGTTGCCCATAAATCACATTCAATTTGGGATAATTTCAAATAAAAGTAGAAGCCTTATTTACTCGTATTTTCAAAAACTACATTAACGGTATATTATTATTTATATGTATATTTGAACTTAAGTATCAAATTTGGTTATCAAATTCATTGAATCACATTATATTCTAACAGCTGTTCTATATAAATAAATAACTACACACTTAGGTAATTTATAAATAAATATCTTTTATACTAGTCACATACCAAACAACGTATTTAAACAATTCGGTATACCAAAGCATTTTTTAAATAAGAGGGGGCAAACGAGCATGCGGCTCACCTAATTATAAATGACCACCTCCGCCTGTGAACAACTGCAACAGACCGGGTAATAGCATGTACGTAGCCGTCCTTTTAAAAAAGAAGAAAAAAGAAGAAGAACCTTTTTCTTGAAGTTCCCCAAGCCGTATCGGTCCGTAAAAGACCGCTGGTGATTGCCAATTCATTAATTTAAGTTTACTCAGGCATCCAAATAAGTTTAAACTTTTATTGATAAAAAAGTACATTAAAGAAATTTAGGTCAAAAAATAATTAGGTAAGGTTTAAACCATTTTACTGTTGTGTACTATAAATGACTAACAAAATTAGGCAACGGCTTTTGCATAACCCAGTTACGTCAGAATAAAGTGAAACGCAACGCATGCTAAATTGAGCACTTAATGTATAAGTACTATTTTTTTTTTGTACTAACCGTGCAACCGTGCTTGACTATTTCAGGCACTGTAGTCATATTATTTTAATTAATGCTTATGATTTTAATATTACTATGATAGTTCTAAGAACAAACAACCGATGGAGAAAAATGGTTCTCGAGTGGCAGCCTCGTACCGGTAAGCGAAGTGTAGGGCGACCCCCCATGGAGCGACGACCTGGTAATACATGCAGGCAGTCGATTTATGCAGGTGGCTCAGGACCGTGTTTTGTGGCATAACTTGGGAGAGGCCTATGTTCAGCAGTGGACTTGTGAAAGGCTGTAACGATGATATATTATTTATTTTATTTATCTTCACGCACAATCCCTGACGGGGTAGCCAGAGAGAACAGATCGCCAAGTGTCACGATCCTTACATACCTCTTTCGCTTCTTTCAGATTCATTATCTTTACAGCTTTCTTCTTCTTCTTTACAGCTTCTTTCACTTCATCATTCCACCATGCATCTCTTCTTTTACTACTGCCTCTTTTTATTGTTCCACACACTTCTTCCGCTGCACTTACCATTCCATCCCTAAGGTTCTGCCATGTTCTTTCTACACATTCGTTTCTGCCATCGATGGTGTCAAGCTATTCGGCTACCCTCGCATGATATTTGTCCCTAGTATCCGCTTCCTGAAGCTTCCAGCTTCAGATGCGACAGACCGACTGTGGTTCTGTCACTGCCTCACTGCGGTAGCGCCAACCCGCGAACAGACCCCTAAATCTAGTAATCACTAGATAGTGATCCGTTCCCAGGTCAGCACCCCTGAACACTCGCGTATCCATAACCTGTTTTCGCAGTCGGTCATCCACCAGGAACAAATCGATCATACTTCTCTCATTCTTTCTTTCTCTAGTATACATATGGATTTTCTTGTGATTAAACATAGTGTTTGTCACAAGAAGACCCTTTTCCTTGCATACCGCCAGTATAAGCTTGCCAGCATCATTAACCCTTTTATCGCCAAACTTTCCAAGTACCGACTCGTACCCTGGTCGAGCGGTACTAATCCATCCATTCAAATCACCACATACAACAATTCTTTCGTTTCCTCTAGCCAAATCTAGAACTTCTCTTACATTCTCCCAAAACTCCTCCAGCTCAGCCCTGGACGACGAAGCTACCGGCGCATAAACAGCCAAAAGGAATAACTTCGTCAGTCCCAATTTAAAGCGAACCCAGAGAAGTCTTGAGTTCACAAACTTATATTCAGTCATAACATCGACCAACCGAGAAGACAACAGCACCCCCACTCCCTGACAGGCGTTCTCGCTCTCCGGGACTCCGGACCATAGAGCTAACGCCCCGCCAGGGAGCTCTTCAGTACCACTGCCCTTCCGTTTGGTCTCCGACATACACACGACATCTAATTCTCTTTCTTTCATTATTTCGATCAACTCATTCGTCTTATCTCTCATGCCTCCTCTAACATTCCACGTGCCAACTCTGCACTCTGTCCTCCACCTTCCGCCGTGTCGGGCTGTGCGTGACGGGTGGCGGTCCCCATCGCCGCTTTGCGCGCTGCATTCCACACCAACGGGGACGAGTTGGTGTGCGTCGCCTTGGGGGGACGCCCTAACCCTCGTTGTCATGGGTGCGCAGCTGAGTAGAATTGCAGCCCTGAAAAGGGCTGGCAGGGGTCGCGACGAGCACGCTTCTACAATGACCAATGTAACGATGATGATGATGAATAATAATAGAGTTAAGAGTATAGTCAAAGCCTTTTATTTTTAAGAGAGTTATTAAGCAATTAGTCCATCGCGCTGCTCTGCAGCATATTGGAGGACTTCCTATCTTCTTGGATTTTTTTATAGAATAAAGGTGATAAACGAGCACACTGTCCACCTGACAGTAAGTGTATACTTTCGCCTATAGGATATATACATTTATTTGGAGTTTTGGCGGATACTTGACCGGCGACGGATTGCTGCTCCTGTATTATTGTTTAAATAATGGTTTGAAGTGGATTCTGATATGTAAAAGTGGTGCGATTTTGTGAATTAAATGTCTGCGCATGTGAACTATCACTGGAAACGGTGAAGCTAGTGCTCTGATGGTGATGTGATTCTCAAGATAAGGTGTCTGTCTGCTTAGGCGCCTAGAGATACCATCGCCAACTTTCAGCTGTCTGCTGGCTCAAGTTGCCATCAAAATCTCCCAAGGGCTGTACAGTGTGACGCATCAACATATTGTGAAGCAGTATACTATGAAGGATAATTATATATTGTAACTTCAGGCTCAGAAGGGCTAGAACCCAGAGCCGTAAAGATAGTTTTTTTTTTATAGGAGAGGGGGCAAACGAGCATGCGGCTCACCTGATGGTAAGTGACTACCGCCGCCCATGAACAACTGCAACACCAGGGGAATCGCAGATGCGTTGCCGGCCTTTTAAAAAGGAGTACGCTCTTTTCTTGAAGGTCCCTGAGTCGTATCGGTCCGGAAAAATCGCTGATGGTAATCGATTCCACAAGGAGGTCGTGCGAGGAAGAAAACATCTTCTAAATCGCACAGTGGTGGACCGCCAATCATCCATATGGTGTGGATGGTATCGGGAGTTCTGCCGCGATGTGCGTTCGTGAAATTTGGCGGCTGGGATTAATCCGAACAATTCCTCAGAGCACTCCCCATGGTAGATGCGAAAGAAAATGCAAAGGGATGCAACATCTCTTCGCAGTGCCAATGAATCGAGCCGATCGGAAAGGGCTCGGTCGTCGACGATTCGAGCCGCTCTGCGTTGGATGCGGTCAAGTGGAAGGAGCTGGCACTGGGGAGCCCCTGCCCAGAGATGGGAACAATATTCCATGTGAGGCCGAACTTGCGCCTTGTAAAGTAGCAGGCGGTGTGCCGGCATGAAATACTGTCCCGCTCTGCTGAGCACGCCAAGCTTTTTAGAGGCCAATTTGGCCTTCCCTTCCAAGTGACCACGAAACTGCACGTCACTCGATATGTCGACTCCGAGGATACCGATACTGGCTGAGGCAAGAAGGGGAGTGCCTTGAAACTGAGGAGATACGACAAAGGGGTTCTTTTTAGCGGTAAACGCGCAAACTTGTGTCTTCTGAGGATTAAATTGGACTAGATTTAGTCGCCCCCAATCCGAGACTTTGTTCAGCAAAGACTCGACTTCAGACACAAGTTTGTTCCGGTACTCAGCGACGTTTTCCCGAGAAATATTGGCACGGCCGGTGTATAGAGCATCACCAGTGCTGTCATCCGCATAGCAATGAATGTTACCAGTTAGCAACATATCATTGATGTGCAGAAGAAACAGCGTTGGTGATAGCACACAGCCTTGTGGAACACCAGCTATACTTACTTATCTTCACGCACAATCCCTGACGGGGTAGCCAGAGAGAACAGATCGCCAAGTGTCACGATCCTTACATATCTCTTTCGCTTCTTTCAGATTCATTATCTTCTTCATACATGCACGTCTAGGTATCCGAGTACTCTTGACCCTACCCTCTTCGAGCAATTTGCTCACATGGTCTTCGAAAGTTAGTCTCGGTCTACCTCGACACCTTTTAATATTAACTTTCGCGGTATATATTTTCTTCACCATTCGGTCTTCACTCATTCGCTCAACGTGCCCAAACCACCGAAGCACGCCCTTATCAATTTTTGTGACAAGGTCATCTTTCAAACCTGCCATATTGCGAATCTCTTCGTTTCGCTTTCGGTCGGCCATAGTAACGCCGCACATTTTACGAAGAGATCGCATCTCCACTGCATTCAACTTACTTTTATGCTTCTTCTGGCATACCCAGGTTTCGCTGCCATATAACAAAGTCGGTACCAACACTGCGTTATGTATTGCAAGGCGTGCACTCTTCGCTACGCCTTGCCTTTTGACTAACGCAGTCAGGGCACCATTGACTTTGTTCCCGGCAGCGACACGCCTGTCCACATCTAAATCACATCTTCCATCCCGGCTAAAAGCACTCCCCAAGTATACAATTTCATTTACCTGTTCTAGACATTCCTGATTTACCCATATTTCACACTTCGTTCTCTCTTCGTCCCTTTCAAATACCAGAACCTTAGTTTTATTAGCATTCAAACGGAGACCTTTAATTTCACATTCCTCTTTCATACACGTGACTAATGCCTGCAGTTCTGCCTCTGATGGTGCAATAAGCACTGCATCATCAGCATACAGCAGACAATTTACTTTTATGTCACCCAATTTCACACCCAAACAGCTATCTTTCAGCTTTTGTAAACAGCTGTCGAAATACAGTATGAACAGCCAGGAAGACATGACACAACCCTATTTTACGCCCGTTTGGACGCTAAACATGGGTGACAGGTCATGCCCTACCCGCACACAGGCTTTACAGTCACAGTAAAGAGACTGCACAGCCCTTAGCAATCGGCCATCCACACCATACCCCGGCAACAGTTCCCACATTTTCTTCCTTACAACCTTATCAAATGCTTTCTCAAGATCCACAAAAGCACAGAAAATCTTCTGGTTAACAGCCAGAAGCTTTTCCGTGATCATACGGAGAGAAAACATTTGATCCGTGCATCCTCTTCCAGGTCTAAATCCGCATTGTGCCTCCCATAGAAATCTTTCCGATTTCTCTTGCATCCTACGTGTCAAAACCTTCAAGTAAACTTTACTTGCTAAACTGGTCAAGCTGATCGCCCGATAGCACCCGCAGTCAAAATGTGAACCTTTACCTTTATATAAAGGCACAATGACTGCGGATCGCCAATCATCCGGGACATCCCCCGTCCGCCAGCACAAATTGCACAGCAGATGAAAGCTGACCCAGACGCGAGGCCCACCATACTTGACCATTTCAGCAGTAACTCTGTCTAGTCCCGCAGCCTTACCACATTTCAAACTTCGAATCGCACGTTCAATCTCTTTCATACTGATGACCTCAGTGTCATCGAGGTCCGGGTCTGGCGTACCAGTCACGGCGTCATCCCCGGATCCCTCACTAAGATCATCACACGCATACATTTCTCTATAAAATTCGCTCCATCGCTGCATGACGTCCGATTTTTCTGATAGGAGGTCATTAGTTCTCGAAAGCACTTTGTTCATTCTTAAGGCCGTCGCACCACTTCGGGCCCTTCCAACCTCTTTCCAGAAGAGTTTGGAGTTCTCCTTAAAGTTGTGCGACAACCTTTCATCCGCTTCCATTCTACACCTTTCACGCACTTCCTCAATCAATGCTTTCGTGTGAACTTTCTGCAGCTTATATCTTTCTTTCATCTTCTCTCTCATATCCTTATCATTACTAGAGGCCAAGTAGTCTAACCATGCTTTCTTCTTCTTCTTTACAGCTTCTTTCACTTCATCATTCCACCATGCATCTCTTCTTTTACTACTGCCTCTTTTTATTGTTCCACACACTTCTTCCGCTGCACTTACCATTCCATCCCTAAGGTTCTGCCATGTTCTTTCTACACATTCGTTTCTGCCATCGATGGTGTCAAGCTTTTCGGCTACCCTCGCATGATATTTGTCCCTAGTATCCGCTTCCTGAAGCTTCCAGCTTCGGATGCGACAGACCGACTGTGGTTCTGTCACTGTCGTCCGGTAGCGCCAACCCGCGAACAGACCCCTAAATCTAGTAATCACTAGATAGTGATCCGTTCCCAGGTCAGCACCCCTGAACACTCGCGTATCCATAACCTGTTTTCGCAGTCGGTCATCCACCAGGAACAAATCGATCATACTTCTCTCATTCTTTCTTTCTCTAGTATACATATGGATTTTCTTGTGATTAAACATAGTGTTTGTCACAAGAAGACCCTTTTCCTTGCATACCGCCAGTATAAGCTTGCCAGCATCATTAACCCTTTTATCGCCAAACTTTCCAAGTACCGACTCGTACCCTGGTCGAGCGGTACCAACCCATCCATTCAAATCACCACATACAACAATCCTTTCGTTTCCCCTAGCCAAATCTAGAACTTCTCTTACATTCTCCCAAAACTCCTCCAGCTCAGCCCTGGACGACGAAGCCACCGGCGCATAAACAGCCAAAAGGAATAACTTCGTCAGTCCCAATTTAAAGCGAACCCAGAGAAGTCTTGAGTTCACAAACTTATATTCAGTCATAACATCGACCAACCGAGAAGACAGCAGCACCCCCACTCCCTGGCAGGCGTTCTCGCTCTCCGGGACTCCGGACCATAGAGCTAACGCCCCGCCAGGGAGCTCTTCAGTACCACTGCCCTTCCGTTTGGTCTCCGACATACACACGACATCTAATTCTCTTTCTTTCATTATTTCGATCAACTCATTCGTCTTATCTCTCATGCCTCCTCTAACATTCCACGTGCCAACTCTGCACTCCGTCCTCCACCTTCCGCCGTGTCGGGCTGTGCGTGACGGGTGGCGGTCCCCATCGCCGCTTTGCGCGCTGCATTCCACACCAACGGGGACGAGCTGGTGTGCGTCGCCTTGGGGGGACGCCCTAACCCTCGTTGACATGGGTGCGCAGCTGAGTAGAATTGCAGCCCTGAAAAGGGCTGGCAGGGGTCGCGACGAGCACGCTTCTACAATGACCCCCAACACCAGCTATGTATATTTATATATACATAGTATGTATATTTATATAATGTATATTTTATTTTTGTAAAAAATAAAATATACATTTATCGTCGATTAAGAATCAAAATACAGATGGAATGCCTCGTGCCAGTAAAAAGGGTCTCCGGTTCTCTACACACATCATACGAAACATAGCGGCATCAAGCTGCTATTTTATGCTGGTATTCTGTGAGAGCGTGATTCTACCCTTGTAAGAGTTGACCCATTCGTGCTGCAGCATGGTTCTACCACGTAAAAATTCTCAGATATATACTGCTATCCTCACCATGGCTTACTTTGCTGCCAAGCACGTGGTAATTTTATGAACAGCCTGCAAGTATCGAAATCAGTGGGCTGGTGACTTTATGAAATCTGCGAGATCTGTCGTAACAATGATGCTACACGTCAAAGAATATGAGACGCAATATATCCATTGGGATAATTTTCATTTGCACAAGAAAATGTAGCGTTGTTTTCTTTCTTTATTTAAGGTTCGCTCCTTTATTTCCCCGTCTCAAATTATTTTCACAGAGCTAAAATCAACTCGCTCCGCATTGGGGAACTCGTGATCCCGGGTACGCACAACGCAGGCGCGTGGCGCTTCGATACAGAAATCAGCACCGTCACAAGGGACAGTTTTGTCCTTTGCCAGGATCGCTCAATCTGGGCTCAACTTGTACACGGAATTCGATACTTGGATTTTAGGATCGCCTACTACGAATTCTATCCAAATAAAGATGAGAGGTATGTAAACTTATACTAAAGATAATACGACACAGTTAATATTTAATGATTCCTTAAAATACAATAAAGTCTAATTAATGAAAATAAATCAGAAGAAAAACTTCTTCGTTAACAGTGTGATATTTTTTTTAAATATTTAATGTTAATAACATTGTAATATGTTAATAACATCAAATATTTAAAAAAATATCACACTCCTAAATAATATCCTAGCTTGTGTTTTAAAGTAAAACGCAGATTCTAGGTATCTAACGAAAGCGTTGAGTGCTGCTCAACGTATTCATCACATCAACAGCCTTTCTAAGTGTACTGCTAGACTAAGAACATGGCTGCACGCATTCATTAGAAGATTTCTCTATACCCACCACGAGCAGTAAACCGATACCCTTGCTTTAGTAATGTCACCCCTAATCACCAGTCTGCACACAATTTCAGTAATTTGATTAGTTATAATTATCATCTTGTGATGGAACATAGAAAATTAATTAATAGAATCCAACATGCCATTTCGTCCGTGGGTGCTGTAAGATGCGACTATAAGATACGTCAGAAAGGTCTTGTCGCTTCCGATAGATGGCAGTATGACCATTTCCTATAGTCGTATGATACCCGGCCGGCGGCGACGGTTAACAGCGTTTAAAGAGCCAATATATCTGGTACCGCGATCGTCAATCCACCTATCTGAAGATTCAGGTAAATCCTCCACCACGAGGCGATTAGCGCCCTATCGGCCCACCTCACTACTACAGTTGAAGAATGCTCTTGTAAGGTTCGTGTGTCGAGTAATCGACGCTGGAAGCTTCAGAGTCATATTCGACAGCTAATCAAAGAAAAAAACACGGCCCTAAGACAATATGATCACTATCGTACTGTAGACAATAAATTTCGACTGCGCAACCTCCACAACGAGGTGAAACAGGGCCTTAAAGAATTCAGATATGATAAGTGGGATAATCTGCTGGACGATATCGAGCTACCTCAAACTGCCTTCTGACAGTTGACCCGAGCTCTGATAGCAGAACAATCCTTCACCTATGCCGCCTCTCATTAGCCCAAGAAACCTCGATCGTGCCTTTGATGACTCTGAAAAGACCGAATGCCTCGTGGACAGTTTAGAGAGCCAATGTGGAGTACTCTAGCGAACCTACAGATCCCGCTCCCATTGCAGAGATGATTGCGACCACTTAGATCCCGTAACTGCCGACGAATTCACAGAAGTAATTAAAGATTTACTATATGGTTAATAAATTATTACCTTTTGTATAAAATATAGTGATGATATTCTGCTGGCCGCATACGACCAAAAAATAACTTATGTCATAAATTCAAAGAGACATTACTGCTTTGTTATTTCCAGGAAATCTATCTTTTCTCTTAATCTAATTAACTGCCTGAGAGAATTCATTTATTTTCAAGATAAACATAATACATTTTTCACAACATTAATATTATTATAACTGAGTGAGTCAGTTGTCACTTTTACTTGTATTTTCTTTTACTTTTGTTTAAACATAATGCTATAGTAATTGTTATTACCTGTATGTTAAATAGATTAATTATCAAGAATAAAATACATAAATATCTAGACAAATAATTGGAGTTTTTCGCAGCCAAGAATTAACTTTAAAAATCTAATGTGAGTATTAAATTTAAGTAAAAACTTTCAATCAACCCAGCCGTAGCGGATAAAACGGGATATCATCATCATCATCATTACAGCTCTTCACAAGTCCACTGCTGAACATAGGCCTCCCCCAAAGAATGCCACAAAGCACGGTCCTGAGCCACCTGCATCCATCGACTTCCTGCGTGTCTTACCAGGTCGTCACTCCATCTCGTGGGGGGACGCCCTACACTTCGCCTACCGGTACGAGGCTGCCACTCGAGAACCTTTCTTCCCCATCGGTTGTCGGTTCTTCGAGCTATATGGCCGGCCCATTGCCACTTCAGCTTACTAATCCGTTGGGCTATGTCGGTTACTCTGGTTCTACTGCGGATATCCTCATTCCTAAGTTTATCACGCAGAGAAACTCCGAGCATAGCCCTCTCCATAGCTCGCTGAGCGACCTTGAGCTTCCTCATCCGGCCAGCAGTGAAGGACCACGTCTCAGTTCCGTATGTCATCACTGGCAACACGCACTGGGTGTACAGTCTCGTTTTCAAGGTTTGAGATATACCTGACGAGAAGATGTGCCGTAATTTCCCGAACGCTGCCCAACCGAGTTGAATCCGTCGATTGACCTCTCGGTCGAAGTTGGACTTACCTAGTCGGACTATTTGTTCCAGGTAAACATACTCGTCAACAACTTCGAGCTTAGTGTTCCCAACAACTACTGGCATAGGTGTGACATGGACATTAAACATGATCTTAGTTTTGTCCATGTTCATCTTAAGACCTATCCGTTGGAAAACACTATTGAGGTCATTGAGCATAGTGCTTAGGTCCTCCAGCGATTCTGCCATAAGGACTATATCGTCGGCAAATCGAAGGTGAGTGATGTACTCGCCATTGATGTTGATACCGTATCCTTTCCAGTCCAGAAGCTTGAAAACGTCTTCCAATGCAGCGGTGAAGAGTTTCGGGGATATGACGTCACCCTGTCTTACACCTCTCTGCAATTGGATAGGTTTCGTACTCTGGTTCTGTACTCGGATAGTCATCGTAGCCCTACTGTACAAGCACTTCAACACTTCGATATACCGACAGTCAACTTGGCACCGCTGAAGGGACTGCAGCACCGCCCAAATTTCGACGGAATCAAAGGCTTTCTCATAGTCCACATACGCCCGACATATTGGCAAATTGTACTCTTCGGACTTCTGTACAATTTGTCGAAGGGTATGTATGTGGTCTATGGTGCTAAAGCCCTTTCGGAAACCGGCTTGTTCGGGAGGCTGGAAGTCGTCAAGTCTGCGCGCAAGACGATTCGTAATGACTCTCGAAAACAGCACGTAGACGCGGCTCAGAAGGGAAATCGGTCTGTAGTTCTTCAAGAGAGCGTTGTCACCTTTCTTGAAGAACAAGACCACCGTACTTCTGCTCCACGCCTCCGGTGTAATGCCACCATGGAGGACAGAATTAAAGAGCCTCTGAAGGACTTCAAGTACCGGTTTTCCACCCGCTTTCAGAAGCTCCGCTGTAATTCCATCCTCGCCTGGGGCCTTACCTTTTTTAAGGTGCTGGAGAGCCATTCTAATCTCGCTCAGACTGACGTCCGGGATATCTTCGGAATAGTGTCGGATGAGACTCGCTCTTGGCTCGTTACTCACACTTACGTGTGGCTCCAACGATGACGTGTACAACTGCCCATAGAACCTCTCAATCTCACTTAAACGGGATAATTTATTGGTAATTAGTTGCTGAAATATAATGCAAATATATATTTAAAAAATGGAAAATTTAAAAAAATCAAAAATTTAAAGTTTTAAAGTTATGTTTTAATATTGATATTTTTATATTGATAACCCTTTTCTTGTATTTGTGCCAATTACCAATGGCCCATTAGACATCATACAAATTAGACATCTACATTTATTCTTGATTAAGAATCAAAATTCGGAATGCGTTGCCATCCCTGAGGACAAAATGGAATGCCTAATTTCCAGTAAAAAGCGTCTCCGGTTATCTGCACTCACCACACGAAACACGGCAGCGTGACTCTACCACTTATAAAATACAGTCATTAGAAGAATTCACTACCTACCCTATAAAATCCGAGAATTTTGTAAGAGATGACGAGAGAAATCAAACAGGATATGGGACGCAGCATCTTCCTAATAACTCAAAATAATAAAAAGTTGCGGTGGGCCAAGCGTGGCAATTATGGCAAATAAATTTGCAGCAGCGGATTTTTAAAACACTCTAATTGAATAGATTGAAATTAAATCGATCGAAAATAAATCACAGATATAAGAAAAATCGTAAGTTCTTTTTTACGTGTTTTTTACGACGTAGATAAAATAATTTTAATAACAGGCCGCTTCATATTTTTCGCTTTTATAAATATACCTATACATATACATATCTATGTAAATAATCTCCCAGAGAATAATAGAGCATTTTGTAAGCTAATTTGAGGTGAATACAAAGAATAGACGTTACGTGATCGCGGAGTGCGGTCGAATGATTAACGATCGTGCACGGCTTCTGTTCGCAGTTACATAAGGCGGCGTAACGAACCGTTGTTAACTGTTTTGTTTCGATTATAAAGGCTGGAGTCTTCGTTTGTCTAAATGGGATAATTTCGTTTTCAGATACTGGTTAAATCATAACCTTATCCGAGTTCGTCCTTTAGTACCTTTACTGAAGGAGATAAGAGCTTTCTTGGACGTTACTAAAGAGGTAAAATATTTTGACTGTTACTTCTTTATATTATCTCAGCTAATTAATAGCCAACGGCCATACACTTCAACTTTTAAAAAAGCAAAAACTGGCTACGAGGAACTAATAAGAATGTATTCATCTAAAACGATTGGCGTGGCAAAGTATTACGTATATATAGTAATTATTCACCAAAAATACTTTAAAAAATTCCAACGTATTGGGAACCTCCTCTTTTTTTTTTCAAGTCTGTTGAATCGTCGGTTAAATGATTAAATACAAAAAAATATATAATAAAGTGGCATGCGTGGGCGACGGAGGGATGACTCCTCTCGCCGTCAGTAACAAAAAAATAATTTATTACACCAATTTATAAAACATTGCTATTGCTAGACTTATCGCCGCTTTATAATTCAGATATATTATCCAACACTTCAGAACTGTAATACAGTAATGGTATAAAAGAAATGTTTGTGTCACAAAATAAGGAGCAATTGCACAAATACTGTTACCTAATTTTCCGACTATCATTTATACCGAGGATCAATGACGTCATAATTTTTTTACTTCTATTAAATTTTTTACATAATATAAATAGTGAAAGCAGTACATTGCAAATAATATTGGAACCTAACTATAAGAATATGTATATATCTCTATATATAAAAATCAATTGCTGTCCGTTAGTCTCGCTAAAACTCGAAAATGGCTCGACTGATTTTGATGAAATTTTTTGTGTAGCTTTGAGTGGGTCCCTGGATGGTTTTTTTTATATAGGATGATGGTGACAAACGAGCTCACAGTCCACCTGATGGTAAGTGGTTGCTGCGGCCCATAGACATCGACATTTATCCTCTATTACAAATCAAAATGTAGATGCGTTGTCACCCGTGAGGACTAAGATGGAATGCCTCATTTCCAGTAAAAAGGGCCTCCGGCCACCTGCACTCACCAAACGAAACGCAGAGGTAAACCTCTACTTCACGCTGATTTTCACACTGGTTCACGCTGGTTTAAATTCACATTTGTACCCGGTAGGTGGCGCCGGTAGGATCGCTAGTAATTGTATAAATTCCCATTTGTCACTTGATAGCGTAAGAGAATCCAAAACCCCCTTTCATCCCGTGGGTGACGTATGAGGTGACTATGGAAAATAGCAGTAATATTGAATGACTTCTGTGCGCTGACGGTATAAACATCTTATTTAGACCAGAAATAAAATAACTGGACCAATTTCCTGGTCAATCATAGATACGAGACGTCTGGTACTGGGATTTCATAACCACTGGCCAATCGTAGGTGTCATAAGAGGCGACAGAGGGAAATTGAATGAAATAATAAAAAAACTGCGGTATAAAACCTACTCGTTAGATGTGTCAAGTATGGCAAATTCCTCCCTATAAGGCAATCTATGGAGAAGGTCTATGTTCAGCTGTGGACTTTTATAGGCTGTAATGGAATGAATCAAATCCTTTATATCAATCGATATAATTATTATTTATTTACCAGGTCGTGTTTCTCGATGCACATCATTTCCCCGTCGGGTTCTACGAACCTGACGGCAGTCCAATAAGAAGCGTTCACGCTGGTCTACTGGAGATAGTGCATAGAGAACTTGGACCTCATTTGGCACATGCAGACCGGTTCGCAACCGCACCCGGTACTAGAGGACCAACTCTCCAGTCCTTGCTAGACGCTGACAAACGTTTGCTATTTAGCTACGTCGACAACAGCGTTGTTTCAGGTAATCCTGATTTCTTAAGACATGCTATTTTTAACAACATCTTGAACAAAGAAATCAACTCTGACTAAACTCTCTAAACAATGTTAAACATTCCATGAAGAAATTTCTAGAATAAATGTTTACTACTAATAAATCGTGTTGTCTACATGTCGCAGTAAGATAGTTGAAGCTGTGATATAGTCATATCCCTAGGGATATAGCTATTTACCGTAATATGGTTATATGAAAGCGGTTCATAACTATCTTACTGGACTCTGATGTAGTGAAATAATTATAATTGTAGTTTGTTAGTCAAAGCTACTTTTAACATAAAATTTTAGATTTTTTAAATTAAAACGTTAAATTCATATTATTATTGTTAACTTTAAATTAAATTCATACATTAAATTTATAATTAAATCGTTAATATGTATTATAATGTAATGCGGCTTTAGTGTCACCCAGGGTCCACCCCAGCCACACCTTAACCTAGTGTTGGTTAAAAAAGGAACATGAACAAAAACAACTTAACGACTTAAGATCCAATATCAATGTCGCGAAATTTGTTTCTCCTGAACATTCAGTATACAGTTATAATTATTACAGTAGATTAGTCTAGTAAGATAGTTATGAAGCGCTTTCATAACTATCTTGGCTTGGCACGGCTTTGACTGCTCTTATGCGACATATGTAATGAACGATGTAGTGGCATATGATCATCACCCCACATCGTACCATAATTGTAGTTAGAGTTGACTCTTATTTCAGTCAGTGTCGGATAAAATTAGATCTTTCTCTCCATTCTCGCCTTTTTCAATACAATTTTTTATTAAATACAATGTAACAAACTTAATTTTGTAAGTTTAGTGTGTATCGTCGCGTTGAATGTTATTAAATGACTATATTTTATTAAAAATATTGGACCATATATTACCTTACGCCGATACAACATAATAAGTAACGAGTCTTTTTTGCTTAGAATTAATTACAATTGATTCTTAAATATGAAAGGAGCCTTTCCCTAGCGGTGGGGCGCACTATACCTATAGGCTGATATAGTAAAAAATTTCAAAGATTAGTCCGGACTGACAGAGGAACAGACGGGCAGACAGACAGACAGTTACACAAAGAATTAAATGTTTGTTTATACCTTAATATAAACAAATAACCCCTGAGGTTAATAGAAGCCAGTTATTTCAATATTATCGACAGACACTAAAATTTCATTTATATGTACCTACCTATAGATGTATAGATGTATAGATAATATATTGTACAGAATTTCTTATAACACACGTATACTATAAGCTTTAACTTAGTTCAACACTACCAGAGCTCTTAGAATAATAACTAGGTTATAATAACAAAATGTTTCATTGTGTCACTATCAAGCAATACGTAAAAGTCATTTGTTTTGAGAATGTGAGTAACAACGCAGCTTGTAATCGTATCAACTATTGTTTTTTTATATCTTGCTGCTTCACTTATCGAGCAAGAACAAAGTGAAGATTATATTATTATGCTTTAACCTTTGATACAATTCGATCTTAGCGAAGCTACGGGCCGCGGGTTCGAATCCCACGTAGAAGAAATATATGTTTGCTATTAACACATAATAAATAATACTATTAGTAATTGTACGAGTTTGAATGTTGGTCCATGTGAAATTTATAAATATTTTTCTAAACAAAATATTTTTTTTTAAATTTTACCCACTATTATATTTAAAGATACTATAATCTGTAGGCAACGACTTTCATTACAGTTTAACATCGTCGTTCAACATAGGTACATTTTTCTATGAAATATAGGTAGTATAATTGTCTCATATACCTAAAATACTCTACCCAGTGATGAGAAACGCTGTTTCCTCTTTTATGATAATACGTAAGTATTTAATGAAGAAAAAAAACTAATAAACGTGCACACAGTTCACCTGATCTCTACATCAATTCTCGATTAAAAATCAAAATGCGTAACGCGTTGTCGCCCCTGGGAACAAAGATGAAATGCCTCGTTAGCAGTAAAAGGGTCTCCGATTATCGTCACTTTCCATAAGAAACACAGCTTTGTGATGCTAATTTACACTGGCAGTCAGTAAAATCGTGATCCATCGAATAGAATGTGATAATTTTTAAATCAATATAGATTACATGTAATTCCTATTGAAAGTATTTTTTTTAATTTACCACTAGTTCGGAGAAAAACCTCTGTTCTGGGAAGAACCATCAAGAAACCCAGGGGAACTTTTTTTTAAAGTAAATTATACAATATGAGAGGTTGTACAAACTACAAACTATTTACAAAATTTATATTAGAAACAGCTTGGAAGCGATCACCTCATTCCCAAGAGTTTAAAGAGAACATTATGAACTATTTATGTTATAATAACCTTTTTTATACAGTTTTTGTTTAATAAATCCTCCTCGGTCCACCCTCGGTCGACCCGGCCTATTGTGTTATAACCTTATAACCGCATTTATAATAGCTTGCTTATAAATATTCTAAGGTTATAACCATAATACATCGCGAGCGTGGTTTTACCACGACACATCTTTGCAACATATAAATAAAATTGTAGTGTCTTTGAAATAATTAATTGCATTTTTTTTGTCTGTCTATCTGTTTGTATATCCAGGGTAGTGTTGGTATTCTTTTTAATCGAAAAACATATAAAATAAACGGTTTTGATGGCCATTCCATAACAGTACAACAGATTTCAATATAAATAAAATGAGAACATCATCAATATAGTTATACATATTATAGGACCGTCTATTGTACTTTATATATATTTTTTTTTCTCGTTCTAATACGTATTGGTGTACAATAAAGAATAAATATTGATTGATTGAGGTCAATCGACGGATTCAACTCGGCTGGGCAGCGTTCGGGAAGCTACGACACATCTTCTCGTCAGACATACCTCAAAACTTTAAAACGAAATTGTACAACCAGTGCGTGTTGCCAGTGATGACTTACGGAACTGAGACGTGGTCCTTCACTGCTGGCCGTATGAGGAAGCTCAAGGTCGCACAGCGAGCTATGGAGAGGGCTATGCTCGGAGTTTCTCTGCGTGATAAACTTAGGAATGAGGATATCCGCAGTAGAACTAGAGTGACCGACATAGCCCAACGGATTAGTGAGCTGAAGTGGCAGTGGGCCGGCCATATAGCTCGAAGAACCGACAACCGATGGGGAAGAAAGGTTCTCGAGTGGCAGCCTCGTACCGGTAGGTGAAGTGTAGGGCGTCCCCCCACGAGATGGAGTGACGACCTGGTAAGACATGCAGGAAGTCGATGGATGCAGGTGGCTCAGGACCGTGCTCTGTGGCATTCTTTGGGGGAGGCCTATGTTCAGCAGTGGACTTGTGAAGGGCTGTAATGATGATGATGATGATGATTGATTGATTGATTACTCGAATTCAAATAAATACGCATTATTAGGGATAACTCAAAAACTACTGATCAGATTTTGATTGTATGGAACCACATGAGAAGCCATCTTTCTAATAAAAAAAGAATCATCAAATTCGGTTCACCTAGAAAAAAATTCTGAGGTAATACACATAAAAAAACAGTCGGAATGAACACCTCCTCCTTTTTGGAAGTCGGTTAGTAAAAAAGTTTTAAACAAAACTTTTTGATCTGCTATTTTACACAATAATGGTCCTAACATTTAATTTCCCATCTCTATAAATTTTAACTGCATCTGAACTTAATTGGCTGCACCAATTGTGTTGAAACTTCACGAATAGATAGACAGCAATACCAGAAGTGACATGTGCCACAGTGTATATAATAGTACCTGTGCTATATTTTAATGGCGATATATGCAGCACATTTATGTGAAATTGAAAAACTGTTAAATTAAATGGTTTATTAGGTACACGAAACAACACAGTAGTACAGAAACGTGTCTGTAAAATCAATTTTTAACATTTAACTACATACTTTAACACCATTTTACAATAAACAGTAAGTAATAAAAGATAAGGTGATAAGGAATAACACCTGTTTTACGTAAAATTAATAAATCCTCAATTTTTATTGTAAACTTTTTTCCATATCACACATTGTTTTTGACATAACAAAAAAACTGCGTTTTTCAATAATAAAACTACTTGCCAAAACTACCACTATTATAGATCTTCAGATATTTTTTGTGTTTACGTATAACGCGGATAAAGCCGCGCGTAAAAGCCAGTTATTCACAATATAGGAGGGGCCCATGTTCCTCCGTGGACTATCATTAAACTGATTATGGTGATTTGCAGAAGACTGCCACAATTGACTGACTGGCAAATTGATAATGAATACACCGGACGTTTCGTACTTTCGACTGATGTTTTCTACATATGATAATAATCAATTCAGTGAAGTTTAAACGCTATATTTCTTCTAAATAAAATGTGTATATATATATACACGTCACGTCTATAATCCCTGAAGGGGTAAGCAGAGCCCACCCAAAGACCATTGAGCGACTTGGACTACGTTTTTTTATAGAATGGGGTGACAAACGAGCACACAGTCCACCTGATGGTAAGTGGATACTATGGCCCCTAGATATCTACGTTTATGCTCGATTAAAAATCAAAATGCAAATGCGTTGTCACCCCTGCGGACTGTGAGATGGAATGCCTCGTTTCCAGTAAGAAGGGTCTCCGGTTCTCTACACTCACCATACGAAACACAGCAGCTTTAAGTTGCTATTTTACATATATTATTTTATATTTCATATCGATCATGAAGATGACGATGACGATATCGATGACGACGACCATGACGCAAAAGATGATCATGACATGACGATGTCGATGACCATGACTATTTTATATTTTACCATCGCTATTTTATAATTTACACTTGTATTCCGTGAGAGCGTGGTAGGTGGATGCCCCTAATAGCAGCCATGCCCCTAATTCCAGCCTTTTCGCCTTTTTACATCGTAAATAAGATTTCTAGTAGTCTTAACTACAAATAATGTCACCTAAAAAAATGTTCGTAACTAGAGGAAAC